CCCCGCGGCCAGCCGCGGGGTCGTTACCAGCGCGGGCGGGTTTGTGCCAAACAATAATTCCGCTATTCCGACCCCACAAATCCTGGCGCTTGCACTCGCCTCGCACGGCCCTGGGGGGGGGGGGAGGAGGAGGAAACCTCCCCCAGGAGCGGGGGGTGCGGACCCGACCCATCTGCCCCGCAGCGCGCGGCCTCTCCGAGGCCAAGCGGGCAGACGCCAGTCGGGCCCGTGGGGGAGCACCACCCACTGCAACGGCGCTCCCGCGGGCAACGCCTGGCGCTGCCACCCACTGCCCCCGCGTGCCGGAGTGCGCCCACGCGTGTGCCGTGCAGACACGACCACCAGACTGCGCGGGGTGCTCATGCAGCCATCGCCATCGTCGCTGGACGACTCTGCCAACTGGGCTTCGACGACGGATTGTCGCTCGAGCCGGGGAACGTCAAGGCATTTCATCCACGCGGGCTGATGCCAGCCGCCCGCGCGAAAAAGGTCGGTGACCGGTCCGCGCCGGCAGCAATGTCCTGCGCGCGCCCGCGCCTGAACGCGCGAGTGCCGAATGACTCCTCGTCATGGCGCCCCATTTCGCCCAGCGCGCGGCGCAGCCGAGCACGTGCCGCGCCCAGGGACCACGCAGCCCAGATGGACTGGTGAGCTGGCTCGCGAATTAGCCGGGCCCCAAGAACGTGCACGGGACAGGTGGCCGCGCATTCATCGCGCCAGCACTGCCGTGCCAACGCCGAGCGGCTCTCGCGGTTTTTCTGGAGAGGTGCAGCTCGATCATTTACTTGATCGCCGACGACGAACGCGGAAGCCACGCAAGCTGCGGCCGCGCCATTTTCAACCCGCACCGCAGTGCCTCCGAAGGTAGCTGGAGGAGGAACGCGTAAGCCGCCAGGCATAACATGGCGAAATGGCGATTCTCGTCACTGACGCGCAGGTGCGACACCAGGCGGGCGACGTCGCGGCCCTGAAGGGCCATGCGCGCCTTCGCTTGCCAGCCCGAACGCTTCTCGATGGCGTTCTTAGCGGCGCGAACCGCCGGGTGCCTGAAGACGTCCACGGGCCTTGCGCGCCGACTGCCACTGCGGGCGGCGCGCGGCCGGAGGATGAGAGGTGGGCGCGCGCCTGCTCGCCACGAGTCGCGCCTTCTTCACGTAAGTCACGTAGTTGCTGAAGGTGCCGGCGCACCTGATCAAGGTCGTGGACCACAGAAGCAGCCCCTCGAGGATAGGCGGCAGTTCACGCCGCTTTAAGACGCCCCTTGCGAATGCTATCCAGCACTCGAACCCGCTGCTGAGCGCGGGCAACGAGCGCGGGCATGCGCCCGGGAGAGCGCTAACCCGGGCCCTGCGCGCCCACGCTTTTCCGGCCGCTGGGCATGCGACGAGGGCTCCGGCCCTAGCAGCTTCGGCCCGCGGCCCGCGAATGTCTCGGCGACCCTCGCGCCCGGCGATTGAGAGCGCCCACCGGACAGCGGACGCAGGGCCCGCCGGGGGAGCTGCATGTGCCCTGCCGCTGTCCTGGCGCCCGCGTTCAGCGCCGCGGTCGACGCGCCGCGATTTCGCGCGCGCGCGCCGTGGAGGATGACGAGACTGACTCGCTCGAGGGCGCCCGCCTCACGATGCCGGCCCCGCCCCGGCCGACGGCCGACGCGGAGCGCCCGCGGGCGAACGCGGAACGCGCGAGAAGACCCGGGGGCAATCCTGGGCGAAGGGAGCGGGCGCAGGAGCGGCGCCCACGCCGCCCCTGCCCAGTGCAGCTGGCGCGCCGCCGCGCTGGGCTGCCGCGATAGCCGCGCGGGCCACCTCACGGGCGTCGCTACATATTGCCGCGGCGCCCCTGAAGTCTGCCATGGTGACGTCGAACAAATCGCCCACGGCGTCGGCGCCGTTATCGGCGAGCAGCGCGGCAGCAGCGAACACAGGAATAGGGCGTGCCTCAGGGCACGCCGCGCGGGGCTGAGCGATCAATCCAGCCAGCGCCATCACGCGAACACCGAAGAACTTTTCAAGGTGCGCCGACAGCACAGAGGTGTTCGCGCGCGCGCAGGGCGAAGCGCGACCGCGCCGTGCGCGAGGGAGGGCGCCAACGCCGCCCCGGCCTGGCGGGCGCACCCTGACCGATGAGGGAAGGCCATAGGTACAACGCACACGTGCCCGGCGCCCGAGCTGGTCATGGCCGGCGACGAGGAAGCCGCGCACTCGGGTCGAACCGCGCATCGCCCAGCATCGGAGGAATCCACTCCGCCCCCATGCGACGCAGCAGCGAGTGCGACTCGCGCGAGGGCAGGTCGGCGATATTGTCCGCCGACGCCACGCGATGTAGAACCCAGCGCCATGCGCCAGATTGATTGAACCAGGCAAGCGTGGTCAAACTGCTTCGCCGCACCGGGCCGGACGGCCCGCTCGCAGCCTGAATTATCCGAACATATATTCACGCAGCGGCCCGACAGGAGCGGCTCGAAGGTGGCCGGGCCCAGCGCGATGCTGATCACCTCCAGGCCGCCGATTTGATTGTCGCGCCTCTCCTTAAGAGCCGAAGCAGAGGCTCAGGGGGGCGACATCGGTGAAAACAGTGCGCCCGTTAATGAAAAGAACCGCGGCCACCTCGGCTGGACGGCCCCGCGCGTCGGAGAGCAGTTGTGCAGACCTGGTGTCTGGCGCCTGCCACTCGCGAGTTGTGGTGAAATTACTGGCGAGCGCTTCGTGCCGCCATTGCAGACAGACTCGCAGGCGCGCCGGGATACTCGGATGGCGCGCCCCCGCGCGCTCAAACAACGGCGATGGCAGCGCACGCCCGAACCGCCCGAAGGCGTTAGATGCGGCCCAACAGAAGCGGCCTGCCAACTTGGACGCGCGCCCGCGCTCGAGCGTGCCCTCTCGAAGGGCAGCGGCGATCTCGGCGCGCCACCGGGCGCGCTTATCCAGCAGCGGCCAACACGCGAGGCCTCGCTCGTCAATCGCCACAGACAACTTTGGACTCCGATCGGATTGCCGAACAGCAGCTTACCGTCGGCCACGGCGCTCGGACCGATAATGATTCTTACCAGTTCGGCGAACTGTCGCATTGCGCCGCGCGGCCCTTTCTTCCGTTCCGCTCAGGGCAAAATAAATCGTCCGCATATCGAAGGACGGGAACGAAAAGGAGCCTGCGGCCCAGCGCTGTCAGCATCACGCCGATGCACTCCAAACTGAGAACGGAGGAAGTCGCACTGGATGGGGCGGCGAAGTGCTGAGCCACGTGGACGCAGGTGCCCGCGAGGAAGGCGACCCACGCGAAGGCGCGATGCTCTGGTATCAGCGGCACGCGCCGGAAGGCGGCGTCAATGTCCGACTTCCAGAGCCCGGGCGCTTCGCCCACGCGCGCCATAAAGGCTTTGCAAGTGCCGAACAGAGCGTCGATGGCCCCATGGCCGAGACGCTCCGTCGGCTGAGACGCCGCGTTGATGCGAGAGCGCGACATATCGTCGACGAGCCGCAGCTTCTCGGAGCCGCCCTCTCTCGTTTGCCGGACGCCGAACCGCGGCGTCAAAACAGCCCCGTCGAGCTCGACCGCGCTGATCGGCGCGGGATGGCTCATTCGGCCGAGCTCCGCTTCGGCGACAGTTTTGGTGAGAATCTCGGCGGAGTCGCTGGACTCCTTAAGCGCGCCGAGCAGCGCGGCGTTGCCTCGCGCCGCCCCCGCGGTCAATTCCGGCAGGCTGAGCGATTCAGGGGGAGATTCTGGCCGCCCGTTCCCCGCGCGCGGGAGCGGACCCACGAGAGGCGCGCCGCGCCGAAAAAACTTCCACGCAGGCCGCGTCCTCGCAGCCGATTTCGTCGAGCAATTCGACGAGAAGGGGGCCGTCGATCGACGCTGCGACTGCGCGCACATTGGCATCGCAGCCCGCAAACCAGGCCGCCGTCGCTCCAGAGGCGCGTAGCTCGGCGCCCCTGGTCCGAATTCGCTCGAGGGTCGCTCGCCGCTCACGGCGCACCTGCCGCTCCGAGCGCGCAGCAATCCAATCGACGGCCGCCGACACGTCGCCGGGCACCACCACGGCCTTTTCAAAGGCTTCTTTGTCCTCGAGGGCGTGAGAACGAGAGAGGACCTCTTCAAGGAAGGCAAACTTAGGCGCTTCCTCAGCAGACGATGGTGGCGGCAGGCGACAGCAGCCGGCATTGGCCGGCGCGCAACCGCGCGCGCACGAGGCAGCATTCTGCCGGGCGCGCTAGCCCGCGAGCGTCGCGCGCCACAACGCGCAGCGCCTGATAATCCCACGCGGCAGCGACACTGAGCCCCGTCGCTTCCTGCGCTTTGCGAGCGCGAGCGCGCGAGCCTGCCAGGGGGCGTTCGCGCGCCTCCTGGCCCAGCGGGCGGGCGGCCCTCGCGTCGCAACCGGACCGCGAGTGTTGACTGGCGCCCAAGCCCTGGACGACGAGGCACCATCGCGGCGCCCTCCTGCCGCCAGCGCGCGCGCGCCTGCGGGTCCCACGGGACGGTGGCCACGGTTGGCGCCCATTCGTCTCTGTTCAAATGCCGACGTGGCACGAGATGCACATCCTCATTGGCGCGCGTCCCGCGCATCGCCGCGCGCCGCGGGCTGCGCGTGCTGAGGTGAATACGCCGTCCGCGAATCCCAGGAGCGCTTGTTGCACTCTCCGCGGTAGGAACCACGGATATGCCACCCGTCGGCTCTCGGCTCGAGGCCATTCTTCCAGGAGGTGACTGCGGCGCCCCCCCGCGATGCCCGCGGCGCTTGCGGCGCTCGCACTCTGCCCGCGCGCCGCCGCGGCGCTTTTTCCTGCCCCCTTGCCGACTGGCGCAGCAACCTGCGCGACAGTGGCGGCGCAGCGCGAGGAAGGGGATTCGGCGACGCGGCCTTAAGGGCCCGATCGCACTCCGCTTCCGCCGCGCGGAGCAGCCCGCTGTCAAGCGACAGCGAGCTACGTTCACCTGCGCGCCGACACGCGCCCGAGAATATCGCGCTGAAGCATGGCGCGAAACTGCGGCCTGGAAGCCTGCCACGCCGGCGGCGGCGCGCTCGGCCCACGTCCTCTGCGCGAGGCGGTCGTAGACCGAGGCAACCTGGGCCTTCCGCCCCTGCACGGGGGCATCCAGTGCAACCTGGGCTAGCGCGCTCTCGCCGGCGACCAGCGGACGGGCGCGAATGTCGACTCGCCTGAAGAACAACGCGTTTGTGGGCCATGGCGCTCGCGCGCGAGCGCTGATCTGTGACCGCCGCCGCCGCGCTCCACGCGTCGAAAGCTCGGTGCCGTGGCGTCCACGTCAGAAGCGGCTGACTCTCCGCCGCGGCTCCCCGCCCGAGCGCTCTGGCCAACGCGGCTGCCTCTTTTAACTCGGGCTCGTCATCGTCGGGGGGATCGCCCGCGCCGCGCGCGCATAGCGGCTGAAACTTCGCGAGCTCTTTCTTGCTGAACGGGTGCGCGATGCCCCTGTCTTCAGCGCGCTGCACCTCGGTGTCCAGCGCGTCGGTCTTCGCCGACCTGGGCGAACGGTGGAAACGCGCCAGCGCGCCGGGGCGAAGCCGCGCAGCAGCCTTGGCCACAGGGACTGCGGAAGGCCGCTCAGGGTGATCTGGGCCAGGCCCGCACCGACGTCGACATGTTCGCCCTTCGGCGCGGGGCCAGGATTCTGCAGCAACGGCGAGAGCTGCACGCCAGCTGAATCCCGCGCGCCTGCATGCCGGCGCGCCATGAGGACGAGAGGAGAGCTGCACGTCAGCTGATGGCCACTATGAGCCTCAAGTGGCACAGCGCAGCAAGCTCCCCTGAGCCACCCAGGACCTGGGACCCCAGCGGGCGTGGTCGCAGTGGACCCGAAGGCAAGTGGTCGCTATGGACCAGGGAAGAGGCCCCATTGGGCGCGAGGCCTATGGACCAACGACAGCACGTGGTCACTATGGACCTGACGAGAGGGCCCCATTGGGCAAGTGAACGCAGCAGGCCGCTACGGGCCGCAACGACGCCACTATGGGCCGAACGGAGCCACTATGGGCCGAACGAAGCCCCAGCGGGCGGAGGGCCGAAACTCGACACACGGCACGGTGTTTATATCCCGCCCCAGCACCAGGCGGAGGAAGCACGGCACCGCACCGCACGACGCGAGCAGGAGGCGGAAGCGGGTCGGCCCGCGCGCGGCCGACCAGCCGAGCGAGGGCGCCCCCGCGGCCAGCCGCGGGGTCGTTACCAGCGCGGGCGGATTTGTGCCAAGCGATAACTCCGTTATTCCGACCCAAACAATTTCGGCGGGAGTTCTTTTTTGTTTTTTGTATTTTCGGCCTCTGGGGGCCCTTACCAGGCCCCGGGACCGTCCAAAAACGACTCTGGATGAAAATTCGGTCCTGGGGAATGGGTCCAGACCTCTGGGGGTCGACGTCATGAAAAAATCATGACCCCGGGGGTCTGGGTTCGAGACATGCCATGATTTTCGGCACCGGGACCCTCATCGGTCGATCGGGTTCGAGACACGCCGCAGGATGATGGAGTCTATAGGGCTCGGGTGATGTTTCTTGGGCCCCGGGAACCCATTCGATCGATCGGGTTCGAGACATGCCGCAGGAAGATGGGGTCTAGGGCTCCTGTGATGATTTTTGGCGTTGCTGCTGGATCTCATGGGGAGGGCGCAGGGCCTTATGGAGGCCGTTGGGCCCCCTGCCCAGCGGCCTCCTCCTCCACATCGCCTCCTTCGTCCTGTTTTTCTGTTGTGGGCGTCCGGGGGGGCGCACGGTCTCAGTGCGTAGAGCATCGAGAACGCCCACGGTGAACCACCACCACCACCACCAATCGTTGGGCAACAAGCCTGGCCAACCTGTTTGTCTATGCGTTCTCTCAGCCGGTTTGTGGGGGGAAAGAAGGCGGAGGGGGAGGAGGAGGAGGAGGAGGAGGAGGAGAATCAGGAGGAGGAGGAAGAGGAGGAGGAGGAGGAGGAGAAGGAGGAGGAGGAAGAGGAGGAGGACGAGCAGGAGGAGGAGGCGGAGGCGGAGGCGGAGGCGGATGCGGAGGAGGAGGAGGAGGACCAGTGTAAACCCAAGAGTCATCAACGATGTTGGAATTGACCCTCCCTCCAAGCTCCCTCTTCATAGGCCCCTACGACGGTTCATCTCCATTGAGGGAACTGCCTCGTTGGAAGACAACCGTTTGAAGATCCTGAAGCATGCCGAAACATTGGTCTCGGGATTCCAACGCCATGTAGCAACCTGACTGCTGCGTCCTGACAATCCCCAATCGTGCCAGAACGCCATTCATGGGACCTCAACTCCGCGAACCATCGTAACTGTTGCGCCACTCACATAGTCCTGAATCCTGCCAAAACACCATTTCTGGTACGCTGATCATGGGAATCCGTGAAACTCGTTCAACATTTGATCGCGAATGTGCGAGGAGGAGGAGCAGCAGCAGGAGGAGGAGGAGGACGGGGAGGAGGAGGAGGAGGAGGAGGAGGAGGAGGAGGAGCAGCAGCAGCAGGAGGAGGAGGAGGAGGAGGAGCAGGAGGGGGAGGAGGAGGAAGGGAGGAGGAGGAGGAGGGAGGAGGAGGAGAGGAGGAGGAGGAGGAGGAGGAGGAGGAGGAGGAGAAGGAGGAGGAGGAGGAGAAGAGGAGGAGAGGAGGAGGGGGAGGAGGAGGAAGGGAATGATAATGATATTGATGATGATGATGATGATGATGATGATGATGATGATGATGCTGATGCTGATGCTGATGCTGATGCTGATGCTGATGCTGATGCTGACGCTGATGCTGATGCTGATGCTGATGATGCTGATACTGATACTGGTACTGATACTGATACTGATGATACTGATGATTGATGCTGATTGATGATGATGCTGATGATGATGATGCTGATGCTGATGCTGATGCTGATGCTGATGATGATGATGATGATGATGATGATGATGATGATGGAGGAGGAGGAGGAGGAGGAGGAGGAGGAGGAGGAGGAGGAGGAGGAGGAGGAAGAGCAGGAGGAGGAGAAGGAGGAGGCCCCTAGGAGGCCCTCGCGGGGCGTCCTGGGTGGTTCCTGGGGCTTGTTGGGGCCTCTGCGGGGTCTCTTGGGGGCCTGCGTGGGCCCCTGGAAAACTCCCTGTGGCTGTTCGAGCACGCTGGAGGTCATGACCCGCGGCCACGCTCCCGGGGCCTCGGGTTATGATGCTCCAACCTACTTTAGCCTTGATGACCAGAAAGAATTTCGAGCGCCAGAAAAAGTACCGAAGCTCAAGGGTTTTCACGTGTCGGGCCCTGGGAGACACTCGCCCGACACTGTTTTGACACTGTTTCGACACTCGTTTGACACTTTTCCGGGTGCTTGAACTTATTTCTGGGATGTGGTCCTCAAGTAAGATGGGAACAACATAAGCCTCGGGGGGAAAGTCACGCCAGCAAAAATCCCGAGAGCGCCCAGGAGCGAGAGCGCCTGGGACACTGGGTCTTGGCCCCTCTGATGTTCAGGGGCAACGATGGTGGGGATAGGCACAGGGGGGGATGTATCGACCCCCAATCGCCCATTGATAGCCGATAGGGGCCCGACAGCCCCATCCTGCCCAGGAAGGTGCGGGTTCACGAGCGGGGTCATATCGCCGATCTATCGGCGATGTATCGCCGATTCTAGGTCGATGCATCCTCCTCTATGCCAGTCCCCCCCCTATCGTTGCCCGTCAGATGTTTGTTGACGGTGCTCAGCACAGAGAGTTCGAAGGTTCCTGAGGACACTCCGCTCGGCGCCTGCGGCGTACGCGCGGTGGTGGATCAAAAACGGTGTGGAACAGCACGGTCGTTGGCTGTGTAGGCGGATTTCTTGGTGCAGCCGAAAGGCAGTACTTGAGGAGGCAAGGAAGGGGGAGGGAGGGAGGAAGACGAGCAGGAGGAGGAGAAGGATGACGAGGAGAAGGGGCGCGGGAGGAGAAGGAGGAGGAGGACGATGAGGACAATGAGCGGGGTTGGGGTGGAAAGGGGGGGAGGATGTAGAGGTGCAGGAGGGTGAGGAGTGCGACACTGGAGCCTGCAACCTGGCAGGTTCGTTTTTGTACGGAGAGGCCTGACTTGGAAGCGAGATCAAAATAGGATGAAGTACGCTGATCTTGGCGTTGGCCAAGCCACGGCATACCAAACCAAGTAATCAGAGTGAGGGGGCCAACCGGTCTTACAGTGTCCCTGGGTTCGTGGTTGAAGTGGGGTCCGCGGTGAGGATTATGTTTGTTTTGGGGGGTGTTGTTGTTGGATCCTCATCTCTAAACCATGTTGATAGTTGATCCCCCCCTCCGGTGACCATTGTGCTTTTCAATTCAAGCGCTCCTCTCAGGGCTCGCACCCTGCTTTTGACAAGGGAAAGTGTGGTGCCACCAAGCTGTGTTGTTGACCCCCTGTGCACAACAACAGCAACAACAACAGCAACAGCAGTAAAAACAACAACAATCATTTTAAGACTGTTCGCTCTTATCTGCTCGCGTTCCTTTCAACACGTATATCCCGAACCCTCGATACCCGCTCTCTTCGTCCTCGACCGTACCCTCTTGGGGATATATCTTTCTTACCTGCAACGTGTATTTCGCGCAGCCTCTGAGGCAGGGGAAGAGGGGACGGATGGAAGGAAGGACAAGGGGGGAGGGGAGGGTGGAGGATGAAGCACGGGCCAGGAGCAGAAAACACGTGGCAAGAACCAGACGGGCAGATCGGGCGGGTAGACCCTAACGGGCAGGTCGGGAAGGCGGGCCCAGGCAGCCAGGTCGAGCAGGCGGGTTGCTCTAGCGCATGAATCGCGAGGAAGTGTCGAGCCGATTCCCAAATCAATCGTGAGGAAATCCACAGCGAGAGCGTGACGCCGGAATGCCGAGGGCGCGGCGTCCAAGTAAATTGCGAGGAAGTCCCACGCGAGATCGCGATTCTTGCAGAAATTGTGAGGAGGTCCCGCGCGAGAGTGCGATTTGGGAATGGAGTGTGAGGATGTATTCGGCGGGAGCCGTTGTTGTTGTAGTTCGGGGACCAACATCGCAGTTTGGCCCGAGTGATTCCCCCCCCAAAAAAACAAGGTGCGAGCCCCAGGGGAAACACTTCAACTGACAAAAAACTATGGTCACTGGAGGGGAGGTCAACACTAGTTATTCGTCAGTGAGAGTTCAGCATCATCAACAACAAGAACAGCAACGGCTCCCCCTGGTACTTCCTCACAACTAATTTGGGAATCGCGTTCTCGCGCGGGTCTTCCTCGCAATTTATGCAGAAATCGCGCTCTCGCATGGGACATCCTCGCAGTTTATTCAGACGCCGCGCCTCGGCAGTGAGGAATCACGCTCTCGCTTTGGCTTTTTTCGCGATTGACTTGGGAGTCGTGCTATCGCTCGAGGCATCCTCGCGATTCATGCATGAGGACTCGCTCTTCAGCAGCCTGCCTGCTCGAACTGGCAGCCTGGGCTCACTTTCCCGACCCGCCCGCCAGGGTCTGCCCGCCCAATTTGCCCACCTGGTTCTGCCACGTGTTTTCTATTCCTCCTCATCGTCCTCCTCCTCCTCCTCCTCCTCCTCCTCCTCCTCCTCCTCCTCTTTCTTATCAGCATCATCACCATCATTATCATAAAAATCAGCATTATCATCCCCGTCTTCATCCGAATCACCAGCACCATCTCCATCACCATCACCATCATCATCCTCCCTTCCACCTCGCCCTCACCCATCCCTGCCTCTTTTCCCCCCCCTTCCTCTCTTCCTCCTCCCCCCCTTCCCGTTCCTCCCCTGCCCCCTTCGGAGGAACTGCAGCTCAACCTGGAGATCGATCGGCTCGCGAAGGACCCGCGAACGGAACTGGTGAGCCAGGGAGGGGGCAGGGAGGCGGTGGAGAAGTAGACGGAGGTGGAGAAGGAGAGGAGGGCCCAGACTCCCTCGCGCTGTGATGAAAGACGAATGCCCGAGGTTTTCCGCTATGTTCGGCCTCCAGGGCCCTTCCCAGGCCTCGGGACCGTCAAACAACGACCCAGGAGGAAAAACTTGTCCCAGGGAAGGGGTCGAGACCTTTGGGGGTCGACTTTGCAAACAAAAAAAAAAAACACGACGTCCGGGGTCTGTGGGGGGAGCTGCATGGGGAAATATCACGGCAGCGATTCTGTAACAAGGTGCCTCGCTTCCGTCGCGTGCCGGGGGCCCGGGCCAGCGGTGTGGACGATGTGAGCTCCACAGAAGCCTTCTCAACCCAGCGTTGTATCATGATCACTGGAGGAAAAGGCGGGGCAGGAAAAGGACCGCTAGGAGCTAGGAGGGTGCAGGTGAGGAGAAGGGGCAGGAGGAGAGAAAAGACGGGGCAAGAGGAGAGAAGAGACGAGCCGGAGAGGGAGAGCGAGGACGTGGAGGGAGATGAGGAGGAGGGAACAGGTGGATGTAGTGAATGAGGGGCAGCAGAGCGAGAATGCGCGACAGGACCGCGAGGCTTGCACGGAGTGTGAGGTGCACGAACCCCAGTGTTCCCTCCTGAGTCCGTTCGGCGTCTCAGTTCCCCGGTCGTCAGATGGGCCGCCGAACGGCCTCATCTCCCACAGGACTTAGGATCGATTCAGCGACCAAGAAACAATGACAGCCGAATTTGAGCACGACTACTACTAAGAGCGACTACTTGTATGCATGACTAATAAGTACTACTAGGTACGGCTACTGTGACGACTACTACTACTACTACTACTACTACTACTACTACTACTACTACTAGTACTACTAGTACTACTACTACTGCTGCTACTACTACTATCACTACGACGGCTACTACTACTACTTTTATTATTACTACTATTACTACTTCTACTTCTACGTCTACTAGTGTTATTACTACTAATACTGCTACTGCTACTGCTGCTACTACTACTACTACTACTACTACAGAGTGTTCGCATTCGTAGTATTACACCTAAGAACTAGCATATTTACATACGGCTACGAGGTATTGTTACCCTTGCGGCTACTCGTACTATGGTCACTACTACTACTACTACTGCTACTACGACTGCTACTTCTACTACTACTACTACCACGACTAGTACTACTACTACTACTACTACTACTACTACTACTACCACTACTACTCAGTACCAGTACTAATACACCTACGACTTAGTATTAGTAGTCATAGTAGTAGTAGTAGTAGTAGTAGTAGTAGTAGTAGTAGAAGTAGTAGTAGTAGTAGTAGTGGTAGTAGTAGTAGTAGCAGTAGCAGTAGCAGTAGCAGTAGTAGTGATAGTCGTAGTAGTAGTAGTAGTGATAGTAGTAGTAGTATTAGTAGTAGTAGTAGTAGTCGTAGTAGTCGTAGTAGTCGTAGTAGTAGTAGTAGTAGCAGCAGTAGTAGTAGTAGTAGTAGTAGTAAGACTAGTAGTAGTAGTCGTAGTAGAAGTAGTCGTAGTAGTCGTAGTAGCAGCAATAGTCGTAGAAGTAGTAGTAGTTGAGCTAGTGCTACTACGGCGATTGCGACTGCGACTATTCCTTTTATTTCTACGGCTACTACCACTACTTCTACTGCTTCTACTACTACTACTACTACTACTACTACTACTACTGCTGCGGCTACTATTATTACTACTAGTGCTACTACTACTACTACTACTACTACTACTACTACTGTGACTACTACTATTAAGAACCAGTGCTACCACACTTGCGACTTAGTACTACTACTGCGACGACTACCTACTACTACTACTGCTGCTGATACTACTACTACTACTACTACTACTACTACTACTACGGCGACGACGACGGCCTATACTACTACGACGACTACTACTACTACTACTACTACGGCTATTTCTACTACTACTATTACGACGACTACTACTACTACTACTACTACTACCACTACTACTACTACTACCCCGACTACAACAACGACTATCATTACTACTGCGAATATTACTACCATCGCTACTACTGCTACGGCTTCTCAGTACCACGACGTCGACTACTACGACTACCCACTAGTACTACCACTGCCAGGACTACTACTACTACTACTACTACCACTACTGCTACTACTACTACTACTACTACTACTACTACTACTAGTACTACGACTACTACCACGACTACTACTACTACTACTACTACTACTACTACTACTACTACTACTACTACTACTACTATTACAGCCACTATTACGATTACGACTACTACTATCATTAGTTTTCAAGTTTCTTCGTATTACTATCACCACTATTTCTACTACTACTACATGTACGACTACGTATACGACTTGCTCAGTATTCTCGTCACTCGTACTACGATTGCTCGCCGGCGGGATATGTGTTTCGCTGCCCGCGGTGTTAAGATAACGCACCGTGCGGTGTGGGAGCGATATCCTGGGGTGGACCAACCCTTGGGATGGCCGACGAACATAAATTTCCCATTGGGCTTTTCAAAAGGAATCGTCCAGGATGGGGACGGTGAGGAGAAAAGCAGGCTGAAACCCTCCTCGAAGTCTGACTACTATGACATATTCGCACTCCTATAGTCGGAGATCAAAACATGGAAACAAAATTTCGCTTTCTTCAAATGTATACACTTGCGCACATGTTTTGGTACAAGTGAAACCCCAGTAGCCGCATCGCGCAGCGCACGCACGCCGAGCCGACGTGGGCGAAGCACTTGGCAAACATTGCGCGCCGCTTGGATCGCGCCTGGGCGGCGGCCCTTCCGTGCTCGAACCACTTTGAGATTCTCCGACCCCTAAGTTAGTATTATTATGTGTGGGTGTCTGATGGTTTCCAAAGTCTTCACAAGTGCAACAACTTCACACAACGGGTGCACCCCGCTGCCAGCCTCAAGCGGCTTCAAGCAGCCCCAAGGAGTTTCGAATTGCCACGAAACCTTCGGCGCCGAGCGCACCTGCGCGTCTCACACGGTTTCACAAAGACACGAAACCCTCGGCGCCGAGCGTTCGGGTGTGCTTCGCGCAGTCTCAGAGTGCTCCGAATCCTTGCGCGCCGAGCGCATCCGCGCGTTTCATTAAGTTTCGAAGTGCCACGAAACCTTAAGCGCCGAACGCACCCGTGCGTCTCACACGGTCTCACACCGACACGAAACCTCGGTGTTGAGCGCATCCGACTCCCAACCAGTCACTTTCGGAATGTACCCGAGAAATTGCCGATCAACATGGTGTTGCGGCGCCGAAGGCAGACACCACCACTCGCACCCTGAGGAAGACAACGCCAAGAAAGCAACCCCGATGCGATCTTGGATGTAGTTTCCAATTTATTGTTGCCGAGTTGCTCTACTCCGAGTATGACGATTTCGTTTGCATGTTACCACGCGTATTTTCTTGATTGCTGTAACCACTGCGTTGTGATCTCAAATATTTGTTATTCACATGTTCGAATCGTAGTACTGATAGTTATCGCTACCACAAGTGTTCAGGATTTGCACTCGTAGGACTATGACGACGACTATTGTTGCCTTTGCTACTACTACTACGACTACTACTATTATCACGTCTATCGCTACTACTACTACTACTACTACTACTACTACTACTACCACTACTACTACTACTACTACTACTACTACTACTACTACTACTACTACTACTACTACTACTACTACTACTACTACTACGACTAATATTACTACTACTATCACTATTATTACTACTACTACTATCACTACTACTACTACTACTACTACTACTACTACTACCACTACTACTACTACTACTACTACTACTACTACTACCACTACAGCTACTATTACTACTACTACTACTACTACTACTACTACTACTACAGCTGCTACTACTACTACTACTAATACGTCTACTACCACTACTATCACTACTACTACTACTACTACTACTACTACTACTACTACTACTACTACTTTCACTACGTACTACTACTACTACTACTACTACTACTACTACTACTACTACTACTACTTCTACTACTACTACTACTACTACTACTACCACCACCACCACCACCACTACTACTACTACTACTACGACTATTACTACTACTACTTCTACTACTACTACTACTACTACTACTAATTCCCCACATCCAAAGTGGGGTTCTTGTTTTCTCTGGACACCCCGCGCAGGAACAGGAACACACACACACACACCCACTCACACTCACTCACACTCTCTCATCATCAACCTCATCAGCATCATCGATGATGCTCTCTCACATGCTTAGTCACTCACATACTCATCATCATCATCACTCGCACTCTCTCACACGCTCACGAACATCATCATCATCATCATCGGCATCGGCATCATCCTCATTCAAACATCATCATCGCCACCACCACTCACAATCAATCATCATCCTCTTCACCACTCATCTTCACCACCACTCATCATCCTCATCCTCATCATCGTTGAGTAAATTGTGAGGAAGTCTCAGGCGGGAGCCCCCTCCCTATGGGGCCCGCAGATCATGTTGGTAATCCGAGCGGGTCATCGGAAACCTTTAACTGTCGTCACTTTTGGGCTCGTCAAGCCTGAACATGGAGGAAGTCTCAAGCGGGAGCCTCGTCTGTGAGTGAATTGGAGGAAGTCTCAGGCGGGAGCCCCCTCCCTATGGGGCCCGCAGATCATGTTGGTAATCCGAGCGGGTCATCGGAAACCTGTAACTGTCGTCACTTTTGGGCTCCTCAAGCCTGAATTTGGAGGAAGTCTCAGGCGGGAGCCTCGTCTGTGAGTGAATTGTGAGGAAGTCTCAGGCGGGAGCCCCCTCCCTATGGGGCCCGCAGATCATGTTGGTAATCCGAGCGGGTCATCGGAACCCTGTAACTGTCGTCACTTTTGGGCTCGTCAAGCCTGAATTTGGAGGAAGTCTCAGGCGGGAGCCTCGTCTCTGAGTGAATTGTGAGGAAGTCTCAGGCGGGAGCCCCCTCCCTATGGGGCCCGCAGATCATGTTGGTAATCCGAGCGGGTCATCGGAATCCTGTAACTGTCGTCACTTTTGGGCTCCTCAAGCCTGAATATGGAGGAAGTCTCAGGCGGGAGCCTCGTCTGTGAGTGAACTGCGAGGAAGTCTCAGGCGGGAGCCCCCTCCCTATGGGGCCCGCAGATCATGTTGGTAATCCGAGCGGGTCATCCAAAACCTGTAACTGTCGTCAATTTTGGGTTCTCGCGCTGCCAGAACGCAGCTCCCAGGCCACATTTTGGACGCAACAAGGAAGTTCTTGGGCTCCTCAGGTCGCCGAGGTGCTGCGACAGGGCGCCGAAGGCGCCGACGACGACGGCCAGGCCGAGGCGCGGGCGCGGAGCTTGCTGATGTTCAGGCCCAGCGAAAGGGAGTTCACATGGCAGAGCTCGGGGGCGCACAGCGTGCGCCGCTCG